CTCTACAAAAAAAAAAAAAGAGAGCATGAGAGAGAGAGAGCCCAACAGATTCACCTGAAAAACCATTGGTATTAATAAGGAAATTGGGCAAGATTTTCAGTATTAATATCAATATAGAAGAACTGTTTCTCTATAGCAGCAAAAATGTGACCAAAAAAAAGTCAGAAAAAATACAGGTATTAACCTGTCAAGGAATGTACAAGACTAAAATAGATACATATTAAAATTTTTTAAAATTAGTTTATTTAACTTTATTTATTTACTTATTTATTTTCATTTTGACCAGATAGTTGTAGAGCGAGAGTACGAGGGAGAAGGAAAGTGAGAAAGCAGGCTGCCAGGACCTGGATTCAAACCGCTGTAGTCCATGTAGGAGTCTAGAGCCCTTAACCACCACACCTCCTGCTGGGTCAGCAGGTGATATGGAGGTTAAGGTGCTGGATTCCCACATAGCCAACCATGGATTGAGTTCTGGCCTTGGAGGCTTGAAAATCACACTGGGTACATGTGTGTGCATGCCTAAAATCCCGAGAGGAGAATGGAGGAGGAGGGATTGCAGCATGGCCACCCCTGAAAAGTGATTTTTCACTTTCTCTCTCTCTCTCTCTCTCTCTCTCTCTCTTTCTCTCTCTCTCTGGCGAGTGCATGTACCCTAAATAATAATAATAATAATAGTAAGATAAAATAACGAGTGACAACTTTTTAAGAATGTGGTGAAAATTCAATTAGATATATGTATACAAAGCTCTAGTCCAGTGCCTGGCATATGACAGACTCTGTGGAAAGTGTTTTTCTCTCTCTCTGTCTTATTCTCATGTACACACACATGCTCTGTTTGGATAAAAAAGAAAAAAAGCAGCAGCAACTACTAAAGAATGTCTCTATAACCTGTGGTAAAGGAAGATTTCTTTTAGAAAGACCCAAAACCACTTTGACTTTTTCAAAGTTAAAGATTTCTGTTCAACAAAGAATCACAGACAAGTTAACAGAGAAGTGGCAGTCTAAAAGAAAGAATTTCCAACATCTAAAACCTGCAAAGGATCACTATCGAGAAAGTCTATGAATCAGAAGAAAAAAGACACAGAAAATCCAATAAATAAATGAACAAATGGGCTGACTCTGTGGCCTGGTAATTAAGGTATTTTTTAAAACAAAGAATTTGGCCAGCCTTATACCACACTGGTTAAGCACATGCATTGGGGTCCTAGATCCCATATGCCCAACTGCAGTTTGAATCCTGCACTAAAGTCTTGAAAAACGCACCAGGAGGATGTGCTTCCGTACCCACAATCCTGATTGAAAGGCGAGATGGAGGAACAAGAACTGCAGCATGATCACATCCCCTTGGGGTATTTCTCTCTCTTGTTCTCTCTCTCTTTCTGGCACTTATCCTCTGGGAATAAAAATTAAAATAAAAAATTAAGAGTCAAGCTGTGGCTGGTAGTTTAAGGAACTAGATCCCAGCAGTATGGTTTGAATAGCTTGAAAAACATGCTGGGTAGATATGTGTGTGTGCCCCAAATTCCAAACAGACGGAGAAACAGAGAAGAAATTGCAACTTGACATGCTTCATAGGGGGTGCTTTCTCTTTCTCTCTCTCTCTCTCTCTCTCTCTCGGGAGAGTGCATGTACCTCCTGGCAAATTTTTTGGTTTTTTTTGGATTTTTTTGTCTTTTTTTTTAGTTTTGCTACAGGGCATGTGCACTTGCCAGAGAGTGAGAGAGAGAGAGAGAGAAGGTAAGTGGAATGTACAAGACTAAAATAGATACATATTAAAATTTTTTAAAATTAGTTTATTTAACTTTATTTATTTACTTATTTATTTTCATTTTGACCAGATAGTTGTAGAGCGAGAGTACGAGGGAGAAGGAAAGTGAGAAAGCAGGCTGCCAGGACCTGGATTCAAACCGCTGTAGTCCATGTAGGAGTCTAGAGCCCTTAACCACCACACCTCCTGCTGGGTCAGCAGGTGATATGGAGGTTAAGGTGCTGGATTCCCACATAGCCAACCATGGATTGAGTTCTGGCCTTGGAGGCTTGAAAATCACACTGGGTACATGTGTGTGCATGCCTAAAATCCCGAGAGGAGAATGGAGGAGGAGGGATTGCAGCATGGCCACCCCTGAAAAGTGATTTTTCACTTTCTCTCTCTCTCTCTCTCTCTCTTTCTCTCTCTCTCTGGCGAGTGCATGTACCCTAAATAATAATAATAATAATAGTAAGATAAAATAACGAGTGACAACTTTTTAAGAATGTGGTGAAAATTCAATTAGATATATGTATACAAAGCTCTAGTCCAGTGCCTGGCATATGACAGACTCTGTGGAAAGTGTTTTTCTCTCTCTCTGTCTTATTCTCATGTACACACACATGCTCTGTTTGGATAAAAAAGAAAAAAAGCAGCAGCAACTACTAAAGAATGTCTCTATAACCTGTGGTAAAGGAAGATTTCTTTTAGAAAGACCCAAAACCACTTTGACTTTTTCAAAGTTAAAGATTTCTGTTCAACAAAGAATCACAGACAAGTTAACAGAGAAGTGGCAGTCTAAAAGAAAGAATTTCCAACATCTAAAACCTGCAAAGGATCACTATCGAGAAAGTCTATGAATCAGAAGAAAAAAGACACAGAAAATCCAATAAATAAATGAACAAATGGGCTGACTCTGTGGCCTGGTAATTAAGGTATTTTTTAAAACAAAGAATTTGGCCAGCCTTATACCACACTGGTTAAGCACATGCATTGGGGTCCTAGATCCCATATGCCCAACTGCAGTTTGAATCCTGCACTAAAGTCTTGAAAAACGCACCAGGAGGATGTGCTTCCGTACCCACAATCCTGATTGAAAGGCGAGATGGAGGAACAAGAACTGCAGCATGATCACATCCCCTTGGGGTATTTCTCTCTCTTGTTCTCTCTCTCTTTCTGGCACTTATCCTCTGGGAATAAAAATTAAAATAAAAAATTAAGAGTCAAGCTGTGGCTGGTAGTTTAAGGAACTAGATCCCAGCAGTATGGTTTGAATAGCTTGAAAAACATGCTGGGTAGATATGTGTGTGTGCCCCAAATTCCAAACAGACGGAGAAACAGAGAAGAAATTGCAACTTGACATGCTTCATAGGGGGTGCTTTCTCTTTCTCTCTCTCTCTCTCTCTCTCTCTCGGGAGAGTGCATGTACCTCCTGGCAAATTTTTTGGTTTTTTTTGGATTTTTTTGTCTTTTTTTTTAGTTTTGCTACAGGGCATGTGCACTTGCCAGAGAGTGAGAGAGAGAGAGAGAGAAGGTAAGTGAGAAATCACTCTCCTGGTGGGGATGCTCACACCACAATCCTTTTTCTTCTTGATATTTCAGAAAAATCAAAAATATTTCTTTATTTTTCAAGTTGCTACGTACGTGACTAAAACTGCACAGCTGGCCATGTGAGATTCAGCTGCCATAACTCCATGCCACCGGCTAGCTTCCTTCTGGCAAATTTTTTTTTTTTTTGAGAGGTTTTTGCTATAGGGCACGTGTGCTCGCCAGACAGACAGACAGAGACAGAGAGACAGAAAGCGAGAAATCACCCCCAGAGGGGATGGCCATGCCGCAATCCCTTCTCTTCCATCTGCTCTTGGGATCTTGGGCACGCATGCACACGCACCCGGCGTGAGTTTAAGCCACCAGGTCCGGGACTTGAACCGGGTCAACTACATGGGAGTCCAGCAACATAGCCATTACACTAACTGCTGGTCCCCCTTCTGGCAAATTTTTTAAAAAATTAATTCAACAAAGAATCATGTCTCCCATTTTTATAAGTACTTGCTCTTATGCTACAAAGTAGAATATCTGCATCTATGTTCAATGTTGAACGTTCTGCTGCAAAAAAATAAAAATAGGATTCCAGGTAGAAAACTATTAAAAATATAAAGGAAAAACCAATGGAAATTTTAGAACTGAAAAAATACAATAACCAAAATAAAAACTTAAATGGGGGAACCAGCAGTTGGTATAATGGCTATATCGCTGGACTCCCATGCAGTTGACCTCAGTTGGAGTCCCAGACTGTGTAGTTTAAACTCACGCCAGTCATGTGTGTGTGCGTGCCCAAGATCCCAATAGGAGAATGGGGAGAAGGGACTGCGGTGTGGCCATCCCCCATGGAGGGGGGAGACGCCACACTTTCTGTCTTTCTGTCTCTCTCTGTCTTTCTGGCAAGCACACATGCCCTGTAGCAAAAACTTCCCCAAAAAAGAAAAAAAAAACTTAAATGGATGAGCTCAACACTGGAATAGAGAGACAGAAGAAAAATTCAGTGAACTGGAAGACAGAAGAATAAAAATTACTCTATGTGAAAAACAAAGATAAAATAGATTGAAAAAAAATGAGGGACCAGTAGATGGTTACATTGCTGGACTCCCATGTAGTCAACAGCAGTTCGAGTCCCAGATCCAGCAGCTTAAAACTCACACTGGGCACATGTACATGATGCCCAAAATCCTGAGAAGAGAATAGAGAAGGGATTATGACATTGCCATCTCCCCGTGGGGGTAATTTCTCACTTTCTGTCTCTCTGTCTCTCCAGCAAGTGCATGTGCTCCACGGCAAAAAAAAAAAAAAAAAAAAAAAAAAAGGAAAGAAAGAAAGAAAAAAATTAACAGAATCCCAGAGATCTATGAGACTAATATAAAAGATCTAACATTCATGTCATTGGCATTCCAAAAGGAGAGAAGAAACAGGCCAGGGATGAAAAAGTAGTAATAAAAAAAAATAGTGAAGAATTCTCAAATTTGGCAAAAGACATAAGCGTAAAGATTTGAGAAGCTGAACAAACTCTAAGCAGGATAAACCCAAAGAAACCCATGCCAAGACATAATCAAAGTTCTGCTAACTGGGCCAGGTTCATAGCACTGTGGGTAACACACTGCTCAAGGAAAGCCAAATCTCACATGATGTCTATGGTTTGCTTAAAACTCACACTGGGCACACGTATGTGCATGCTCCAGATCCCAAGATAAAAATAGAGGCAAACAAATTGCAGCATGGCCATCCCCCCTGGCGGGTGATGTCTCACTTTCTATCTCTCTGTCTCTCTAGTGAGTGCATGCATCCTATAGAAAAATCTCTTCTCTCCAAAAAGAAAAAAAATAAAGACCTGCCTCATTTAAAATTACTTCTTTGGAGCCAGCAGATGGTGTAGTAGTTATGTTGCTGGACTTCACACGGCCCACCATGGTTTGAGTCCTGGACCCAGTGGCTTGAAAATCATGTTAAGTATGTATGCACATGTATCCAAGGTCCTGGGAGGAGAATGGAGGAAAAGAGATGGCAGTATGGTGGGGGGAGGGGAGGTGTGGAGATGATTTATCACTTTCTCTCTGTCTGACTGTCTCTGTCTCTCTTTCTCTCTCTGGCGAGTGCATACTCCCTAAGGCAAAAACCCCTTAAAAACACACGCAGACACACAGAATTACTTCTTCAGTATTCCTCTATTCCACTACACTATAAGTTACACGAAGGTGAGGACTGGTCATTGACAGCCACAGCACTTAATGCAGTGTATACCAAATCAAAGTCACTCTTTTCATATTCATTAAATGATGAGTGAACAGATTCTCCCTCAAAGAAAGTGCCCTCTACACTACCAATCTGGTTTGCCCTTTCCTCAAAACTTCCAGATACTCACCATTTGACCAGTAGTGACTACTTCCAGGGAAGCCTGCCCTTACCTTGTTAGTTTGTAGAATTCTCGCGTGAAATGCAGCTGGCCAGGCATGAAGCAACAGGTAAGCATAGGAGCGAATGGCATACACTGGGGAGTATTCCCAAGTCTGAAACCCCTTCCCATAGATGAGGTAGTGAGTCTGAAAGTACAAAACAGATGGACTCAGGGTTATAAAGGTCAAAATTCTGTTAAGAAGATGCAGGTTAAGTTTCTAAATAGAAAAATTAAAGAGACAATGGTACACAAAAATGCTGATATTCTCCATAAGATTTGCTATTAATAGATAAGAAAAGAATGAAAATTACTCAATATTAAATTAAGATATTATAAATTCTACAAGAGCGTTGTACAATCAGCACTGAAAGTTTGAATTTCACCCTCTACTAATTCAAAGAGAGATTTTTGCTGTAGGGCACATGCCCTCACCAGAGAGACTCAGAGAAACAGAGACAGAAAGCGAGAAATCGATCCCCAAGGAGATGGCCACGCTGCTATCCCTTTTCCATTTTCCTCTCAGGATTTTGGGCACATACACACATGTGCCTGGCATGAGTTTTAAGCTGTCAGGTCCAGGATTTGAACCATGGTCGATTTATGTGGAAGTCCAGCAATGTAACCATTATGCCATCTGCTAATTTTTTTTTAAATAATTATTTATTCAGTTTTACCCATCATCATTATTCTTCAATTTGACAAGAAAGAGAGAGACAGAGAGGGAAAGTGAAAAAAGCAAGCGGCCAGGTCTGGGACTCAAAGTGAGGTTGGCCATGTGGGAGTCCAACACCTTAATCACCACACCACCTGCCAGTCCATCTACTAATTTCTTTTCAACAGTCTTGAGATATGGGCAGTCTGTGGCCTGCCAGTTAAGGCAGCTAGATCTCATATGGCTGATCATAAGGTTTGAGTCCCAAACCCCACAATTTGAGAAACAGACAAGGCACACAAACATGCATGCCCAAAATCCTGAAAGGAGAAATAGAGGAAGAGAGTACTGTGGGGGATACTTTCTCACTTTCCTTCTCTCTCTGGCAAGCACATGCACCCTCTAGCAAACTAAAAAAAAAAAAAAAAAAAAACAGACAAAACAGAAAAACTCTAAATCTTTTATTTGACTTATATTATCTACATAAGCTTTCTTTCTCCATTTCTGTGATGCAAAATGTGATCAGAAAATTTTTTTTAATCAGAAATCAACATACAATGCATAAATCAAGAAGTATCAGTATAAGCATACTATTTAGTAACACTGTTTATTTTGGTAAACAACAGAAAAAATAATTTAAAAACTGAGGCCCAGTGGTATCTTCTCACCTGTACCATGTCAGGTGAGAAGATACCGCTGAGCAATGCTGCAGCCATGTGGAAGGCCTGGATCTGGATCCAGGCTTAGCCTGAGCACACCAGGCAGGCATGCCTGTGATCATGGTTGGCAGGAAAGCTGGGGAAGGGACACAATATGGTGAGACCCCTCAATGGGGCCTGTCTCTCTCATCCTCATTAACTACTTTTTAAAAAGTTAAAAGAGGGGGGCCAGCAGGTGGCATGGTGCCTTAAAAATCACTCCTGACATGTAAGCATGCGTGCCCAGATTCTGTGCATTTTCCTTCTCTCTCTGTCTCCAATGAATGCATACACCTTAAGGCAAAAATCTAAAAAAAAAAAAAAATGCAAAAATCAAAGTTGAAAAGAAGTGGTTGCCAGGCTAGCAGGTGGCATGGTTAAGGCACTAAACTCCCACATAGCTGATCACAGTTCAAATTCAAACCTGGTGGCTTGCTTTCTCTCTCTCCCTCTCCACTCCCTTCCTCTCTCTCTCTCTCTGTCTCTCTCTGGTCAAACTGAATAACAATAATAATAAAGAAAATTAAATAAATAATTCTTTAAAAAAAAAACGTAAAGTGGTTGCCTCTGAGAAATGGGATTTGGACATAAGAAATGTATCAAGGAGCTACTGTTTTTCCTTCAAGTTAGTAGCAGTTGTTTACTTGAAAGACTATCTCAAAGTATTATTTTTTATTATTATTATTTTACTTTTTGCAACAGAGCATGTGCACTTGTCAGAGACAGCAAAAGAGAGGGAAAGTAAGAATCATCCCCAGGAGGATGGCCATGCTGCAAACCCCTCATCTTCATTCTCCTCTCAGGATTTTGGTCATTCATGCACATGTACCAAACATTGTTTTCAAGCTGCCGGGTCCAGGACCTGACCACACAGCTGGCCATGTGGGATCTAACACCTTAACCTCCATGCCACCTGCTAGCCTTCTCCAAGTATTATTTTGATTAAAATAATATGTAAAGGGGCCATCAGGTGGTGTGGTGGTTGGGGCACTGGACTCTCAAGTCTGACTGTAGTTTGAATCCTGCACTTGGCAGCTTGCTTTCCCACTTTCTCTCTCTCTCTCTGGTCAAATTAAAAAATAATAAAAATAAATAAAATAAAATAATTATTTTTTAAAATTTGTAAAAAAAATTCCTACACGGCTGACCATGGTTCAAGTCCCAGACCTGGCAGCTTGCTTACACTTTCTGTCTGTCTCTCTCTCTCACTCTGTCCCTCTCTAGTAAAATAAAAATAAATAAATAAATAAATTAGAAAATTACAAAAAAATTTATTTATTATTTTTATTTATTCTTAATTTACTATAGGGAATGTGTGCTTACCAGAAAGAAAGAGAAAGAGAAAGTGAGAAAGTAAACCATCAGGTCCAGGACTCGAACTGTGGTCAATCATGTGGGAGTCCAGTGCCTATACACCAGGCCACCTGCTGGCCCTACATTCATGCATCATTTATATCTTGATTGGTACTAAGTTCCAAGGAGCAAAATCAAGAATGAAAAAAAAATCACCTACAGGTTCCCAGTAGTTGAAGGTTTCATCACAGTCAGAGACATTGCTCAGAAGAGCAGCACATAACCTTGCTGAGAGCAGACACTTGAAAGCAGTAGATCCTTCTGGTGCCCAGACTTGTCCAGCTTTGTTTCCAGACAACCTGCTCACAACCAAAAAGAAAAATGTGATAGGATGTGCCAACCAGAAAGACTAGAACTAGACAGAAAGGATAAGAAAAACAAAGGACATCAAAGCACTTATGTTAGTCACCTAAAAAGGTGAAGTATTAGGGGCCAGTAGGTGGTGTTGTGGTTAATGCACTGGACTCCCCACGTGGTCAACTTAGTTTGAGTCCCAGACCAACAAGCTTGAAAATCACACTGGGCATGTGTGCATACATGCCCAGAATCCCAGGAGAAGGACTGCAGTTTGGCCAACCCCCTGAAGGGTAATTTCTCACTTTCCCTCTCAGTGTCTCTTTCTGTATCTCTCCAGTGAGCACAAATGTCCTATGGCAAAAAACCTAAAAAGTAAAAATTTTAAAAAGTCAAATATTCATTGTTCTTTCTGAGTAGAAGGCTAAAGGAAAACCAGTCCTTCCATTATGTACTTTGCTTTTGCTTTTTTTAAAATTGCCATATGGTGTGTGCACTCACCAGAGAGAGACACAAGGAGATAGAGCATCCCATCCCTCAAGCTACAATTCCTTCTCTATTTCTCCCCTGCTGGGATTTAGGGCAGGAAAACACAGCTGCTTGGCATGTTTTTCAAGCAGCTAGGCCAGGATTCAACTCCAATTGGCCATGTGGGCTCCAGTTCTCTTAGCTACTAAGTTATGGGGTCAGACCTCCACTTTCTGCTTGTTTTTTTGTTTTTTTGTTTTGTTTTTGTTTTCATTTTTGTTTTTTTAGGTTTTTGCCATAGGGTGCTTGTACTCCACCAGAGAGAAACAGAATAAGGGAAAGTGAAAAATCATCCCCTCTTCTCCAGGGGGGATGGCCACACTATAATCCCTTCTCCTTCATTGTCTTCCTGGGATTTGGAGGACACACCCATACACACCAGGTGTGATTTTCAAGTTGGCAGATTCAGGACTTGAACCTCAGTCGCCCTTGTGGGAATCCAGCACCTTAACCACCATGTCATCTCCTGGCCCTCCCTTTCCACTTTTCAGAAGTAAAATGAGGGATCAGCAGATGGCATAATGCTTATGTTGCTGGACTCTCACATGGCCAACCTCAGTTCAAGTCCTGAATCTAAAGGCTTGAAACACACTAGTCACGTGTGCATTCATGCCCAAACTCCCGAGAGGAGAATGGAGAAGGAACTGTGGCATGGCCATCCCTCCTGGAAGGTGATTTCTCACTTCTCTCTCTCTGTCTCTCCAGTGAGTGCAAACCCCTATAGCAAAACAAAAATCTCTCTTAAAAAAAATAAAAGGGACCAGCAGTTAGTGTAATGGCTATGTCGCTGGACTCCCACGTAGTCAACCACGGTTCGCGTCCCAGACCCAGTGGCTTAAAACTCACGCCGGGCGCGTGCCTGTGCGTGCCCAAGATCCTGAGAGGAGAATGGAGGAGAAGGGATTGTGGCATGGCCATCCCCCCTGGGGGATGATTTCTTGCTTTCTGCCTCTCTGTCTGTCTCTGTCTGTCTGGCGAGTGCACGTGCCCTATAGTGGAAACCTCTCAAAAAATAATAATAATAATAAAAAAGTGAGGGGGGAGAAAAAGAAAAAACTCTCCAAAAACTTTTTTAAAAAAGTAAAGTGAGGGGCCAGCAAGTGGCGTGGTGATTGGAGCACTGGATTCCCACAAGGCCGACTGTGGCTCAAGTCCCAGACCTGGCAGCTTGCTTTCTCCCTCTCTCTGGTGAGCATGCGTACCCTGTAGCAAAATTTTAAAATAATAAATAAAATTAAATAACTATTTTTGAAAACTTTTTCTTTTATGTTTTAGAGATTTTTGCTGTAGAACACATGTACTCTCTGGAGAGACAGAGAGATAGAAAGTAAGAAATCATGTCCAAAGAGGATGGTCATGCTGCAATCCCTTCTCCATTCTCCCCTCAGGATTTGGGGCATGCACATATATGTGCCTAACGTGAGTTTCAAGCCTCTGGGTCTCGGACTTAAATTGCAATCAACCACATGGGAGTCCAGCATCTTAACCACTACATCACCTGCTGACCCAAATAAATAATTCTTAAAACAAAACAAGAAAAAAAACAGTAAAGTGAATTCACACACTTTAGCTCACTCCATCACACTCCAATTATCCCAAGTCAACTTATCACTCACTTGACAGCCACTAAGTTCTTATTCTCGTTTTTCTTTTTCAAGGGAGATTTGCTATAGAGAGTGCGCACTCGCTGGAGACAAAGACAGAGACAGAGAAAGAGAGAGAGAGAAATCACCCCCTAGGGGGGATGGCCACACAGCAATCCCTTCTGCACCATTCTCCTTTGAGGATTTTGAGCGCGCATGTACACGCAGCCAGTGAGTTTCAAGTCACTGAGAGGAATCAAACTACAGTCCACCATGTGGGAGTCTAGCGCCCTAACCACTACGCCATCTGCTGGTCCTTCATTTTTTTTTTAACAAGGCTATTACTTTCTATGACTTTATTCGTTTCCCCGCATGTTCAAATTAATATTAGACTAATATGCGCACAGTACATAACCTCCTGCAGTTCCACTGCCACCTCCTTGAACGCACCGTACCGTGCAGTCTCCTGGGCTTACAAGGAGTGGTTGACAGGGTGCTGAGGTGGTCGGGGGACTGGGGTGGGGGGCGCACAAAGGAGGAAAGGGTGAAAGCAGCTAAGAGAGCTACCCGCAAAGGTATACTCCGCTCCTGCCGCCATCTCCCACAGAGGCTCCGTCAGCTCCACCACGGAGCCAGCCCACCCTGGGCTCAGGCCAGGAGCAGCAGAGACCCGCACCCCGAGGTACCTTCACAAGAAGGAAGGGACCCGGCGGAGCGAGGACCCAACGCTGACCGCCCGAGAAGAGCGCAAGGACCTGACTGAGCAGGGAGCCGGCGCGACCCCGGGCTCGCCAGCCAGACCC